CTCAAACCGGAGTGCAGGTGATTGCAAAGTGAGACAGTTCCTTGGCTGTTCCTGGGAATCGTTCTGAAAACTGAAAATAGAAGCAGCCTTTAGGAATAAGCTGTGCTGAGGGACATCATGACCCCGCGGCAGATGAAATCACTTAAAAATTTTGAAAACTGGCAGCACCTTCTCTTTTAATTACACGGCGCAACCCCATGCTGCGGGAAGCAATTACACTGTCATTCTTTCGTCCTTCCCACACACAGCCTGCACCCACTGGTACATCAGAGAGAGAGAGAGTAAATCAAGGAGCCCTTTTGCAATCATGAATCTGGGTTTGGACAAAGTCAGAGAAGACGGTCTGGTATCTTTTGGATGGGGTTGGATAGAAAAATGGCAAGGGGAAAAGAGGATCCCTAGGGACTAAGGCCTAAACTTGGCAACTTTTAAGACTTGTGGACTTCAACTCCCAGAATTCCCCAGCCAGCATGACCTGACTTGGTTCTGCTGCAGTGCTGTACAAGATGCTTTCAAACAGGGCTTCAGGAAGATAGAAGGCATAGACGTCCCTACACGAGGCGGGCTGAGCCACAGAGAAGAACCTTAGGAGAGATACCTTCAAATACTATGGAAGTGAATCAGTAGCTCAGTGAGAGAGTGCGTGGCTGGCTTGTAGAACATCTCCTCAGGGAACGTGGTCATTTTGAAGAACTAGATTGGATGACTCAGTGCTTGGTTTCAACACAAGATAACTCCCCCATCTTCTCAACCAAAGTGAGACTAATCCCAGGTGTCTCCCAGGTTGTGGCTCAATGTTATGAAGAGTTCTTTTCTTCCCTCGTGAAGACTTTCCACAGCCCATTTATGCAAACCTCTTAAGTGCATCGTCTTTAGAAATGTTACCCCTGTTCAGATTCAAGTAAACAATTTCACTCAATAGGGGCAAAGGTGTGGAGGAACCACTCCGCAACCCTGGTGGAAAAGGCCTGCGAGTCTTCTAAACTGCGGTTGGCATCCCAATCCCAATTCGCCCTTGCCTTGCCTTCAAAATTAGCCCAGATGAATGGCCTCCTTTGTAGTAAGGAGGCAGGGACTACAATCACCCCCTTCTCAGTTTGCCAAGCTATCACTTACTTGGGAGTCAACAAGCTGTGCTGGTGCTACACGAGAAGGAAAGCAGCAATTTCTTAGTGGTTTCTTTGGCATATTTGAAGATCTCATGCAACCAAGACTTTGCTCCTCAGACCAGCTAATTTCCAGCCCATTTCTCCCTCTCCCCAAAGAACCAACAAAGAGACGCAGGACCTCGGGCTTGTTCCATAACCCACCCCAACCGACCAATTCTGAATTAATATTTCAAGAAAGAACTTTTGTTCATTTTTCTTTCCATAGTACGGAAACGTGTGGGGTTATTTTTTTTCTTCCTCTTTAATTTGCCCCTCCCTTAAACTCAAGCAAAGTTGGAGCCGTTCTCTGCCTGCAGCTCCATGCAAGGTGATCTCCAAAGCCATGCCATGAAAAAGAGAAGAGGAAAAAGGAGACTCTGTGCTGGAAGTAACTAAATGAAGTGGTTTGTACAAATTATGCAAACAAAGCATTTTTTCCCCCGGAGAACTTCTTGAGTTCAAATAATTTCTGCCTGTTCTGAGCACGGAAGGAAAGGATGGAGAACTATCACTTCTTGAACTCTCTCACTCACTCGCTCTCTCTTTCTCTCCACCAACCTCCTTTTCGTGGCTCCTGAAATTTAACCTCGGATTCCCACCCTGTCTCTGAAGCCTGAGGAAAGAGGAAAAATGTGTTTTTAATTAAGGATAAACTGAGGCGGGCAAAATTTATTTGTCAACGTAGTTGTTAGTTTGTTTGCTTGTTTGTTTGTTTAGAGCCTTTATGGAACACCATTTAGAAGGCTGCTCAAATGCAGGCCTCACACCATTTGCTGTGACAAGTCATAAGCGTGCTCCTTTGGGCAATAGGGCATCTAGTTCATATGTCAAAAGTCAACTTTAACAGAACAGAATGCTACTCCCTTTGTAAGATTGAAGTCTGATACTCTGGTCAATGGGAACGCTTTAGGAGACGGGTCTCCAACACTTGGTAACTTTAAGAGGTGTGGGCTTCAACTCTTAGAATCCCCCAGTCAGCATGGCTGGCTGAGGAATTCTGGGAGTTGAGATCCACAAGTTGCCAAGTTTGGAGACCCCTGCTCTAGGGCAGTGTTTCTCAACCTTGGCAACTTGAAGATGGATGGACTTCGACTTCCTGCATTCCCCGATCATCATCGACTTGAGCTGTGGACTTCAGAATGAGTTGAAATCCAAACATCTTCAAGTGATCAAACTTGAGAAATGTTGCTCTAGGTTCATATAAGTCTAGAGGTGGAAACCCATATGTTTTGTTCCAGGTCAGACATTGTCCCTCTAATTCAATATTGTCTACACCAATGGGTGGTGCCTCCAGAACATTTTCCAACCACAGATGACCTGTTCCTTTTTAGAGTGCCTGAAATGGAGTGGAGGACTTTCTGCTGGTAAAAACAAGGGCTTTCTCCTTGGCTGGAAGACCTTCCCATTTTCAACTTCTGAATTTATACATTCCTACAGTAAGGATGGGTGGGTGGAGTGGGACAGGCGGCAGGCCAGAGCAACTGAAGGCTTCAGCCTCATGCCTGGTCTGCTGCAATCACACTGCCAAAATCCTGCAATAAGATGGCAAGGCTGTCTGAATGTAAGCAGAAGGATAGGTGCATAAAGGTACTGGGACAGAGGCACACAGATGTGAATACTGTGGCATATAGCCTGGATTAATCCACCAGCTTCCCTATGTGAGCATCAAGTTCTTTCTCTTCTTCCCTCACATCCTACCTCTATTCCTTCCTTCCTTCCTTCCTTCCTTCATGATTTATCACTTGTTGCTTGTATATACACTGAGAGCTTTTGCGCCGGAGACAAATTCCTTGTGTGTCTAATCACACTTGGCCAATAAAGAATATTCTGTTCTATTCCTGTTCCATTCCTGTTCCATTTCATATTTTCTATTCTATTCTATTCTATTCTATTCTATTCTATTCTATTCTATTCTAGTCTAGTCTAGTCTAGTCAAGTCTAGTCTAGTCTAATTTTCTATTATTTTCTGTTCCATTGCATTGCACTCCTATTCTATTCTATTCTATTCTGTTCTGTTCTGTTCTGTTCTAGTCTAGTCTAGTCTAGTCTAGTCTAGTCTAATTTTCTATTATTTTCTGTTCCATTGCATTGCATTGCACTTCTATTCTATTCTATTCTATTCTATTCTATTCTATTCTATTCTATTCTATTCTATTCTATTCTATTCTATCCTATCCTATCCTATCCTATCCTATCCCATATCTATTCTATTCTATTCTATTCTATTCTATTCTATTCTATTCTATTCTATTCTATTCTATTCTATTCTATTCTATTCTATTCTATTCCATTTTCTGTTCCATTTCATTCTATTCTATTCAAATGTTCTCCGCCATTCCTCTTTCTTCTGATCTCACAAGAGGAGCTAAGAGAATTGGCATGACCATTTCATGTAGGTGGACCATTGCAGGATACAGGACTGATCATCCAAGACTTGCTGAGTGGAGACTTTGGTTTATTTTTCTTTCCTGAGGTTTGTGATGGGGAGAGAGAGGAGAGGAAGGTTAGCTCTTCCATAAGATTTATTTCATTACATCTGTAACAAGTCAGGGAAACATCAGAGTCGAAAGATTATTTTTTTCCCCTTCTCTCTTTCTCTTTCCGTTTTCGTCTGAGGTCTGCTTAGAACAAAGCTCGGTTATTTGAGATAAACAAAGGCAAGAGAAGACATTATCAAAGAGCAGGCTGGCCACAAATTGTATGATTTGGATTTTACTTGGTAACTTGGGCAGCTGAAACCAAATTCAAACCAGATTGACCTCTGTTGGGCAAGCACACCCAGAGGACGTGAGAATTCACTTTGTGAAAAACATCCCTTTAGAAGAGCCCCCATTGTATAGGGTGTCTTCTGCTTGCTATAGATTAACGCATCCTGAGTATTTTCATTAAAATTGAGGCAACAGCTTCCTGGCCCTTCTTGTTCATTGGCAATAAATAGCAATAGCACTTAGACTTATATACCACTTCACAGTGCTTTACAGCCCTCTCTAAGCGGTTTACAGAGTCAGCATATTGTCCTCAACAATCTGGGTCCTCATTTTACTGACCTCGGAAGGCTGAGTCAACCTTGAGCAACAAAGTTGAGCAATAAAACGGGCAACAAAATTGAGCCACCTAGAACTACAGAGAGAAGAGAGAGAATATTAGGACTATACATTTAAATAAAGTGTAGAAAGTCTTGAGATGCCACAGGGTAAAACATCTGTAGTATGGAAAGAGATAACTTGGAGAAGAAAGTTGATGGACAGCCAGGTTTCTGTAGTAGTTAAGGTATCTAGAAACCAGGAGACTTTGAGTTCTAGTCCCACCTTAAGCATGAAAGCCAGCTGGGTGACTTTGGGTCGGTCACTAGGAGATTGTGAGTTCTAGGTGTCTCTTAGCCATGGATGCCAGCTGGGTGACTTTGGGCCAGTCACCCTCTCTCAGCCCAACTCACTCATAGAATTGTTGTTGTAGGGAAAATAGGAGGAGGAAGGATCAGTAGGTATGTTTGCCACCTTGAGTTACTTATCAAAATAATAAAAGTGTGATAAAAATATAATAAAAGTAAATAATCATCTTTAGTTTAGTTTCACTGTGATCCAACAAGGTATGTTGAGTGTTATCTTCACATAGATAATTACATGTGGGAGAAACGTAATCTGTTAATAATGGAATAACAGAGTTGGAAGGGACCTTGAAGGTCTTCTAGTCCAACCCCCTGCTCAGGCAGGAGACCCTATACCATTTCAGACAAATGGTTGTCCAATCTCTTCTTTAAAACCTCCAGTGATGAAGCACCCACAGCTTCTGGAGGCAGGTTGTTCCACTGGTTAATTGTTCTCACTGTCAGGAAGTTTCTCCTTAGTTCTAGGTTGCTTCTCTCCTTGATTATTTTCCATCTGTTGCTTCTTGTCCTGCCTTCAGGGGCTTTGGAGAATAGCTTGACTCCCTCTTCTTTGGGGCAGCCCCTGAGATATTGGAAGACTGCCAATACATTTTAAATACATGCTTTAAAATGCCATTGTCTTGTCCACACAGGTAACTATGGTGTTGTTGTCCCAGATGGAATTCCTTGAGAAGAAAAAGAAAAAGAAAGAAAATAAAGCATATTTTTCCTGCATGAGCTATCTGTTCCACGCGGAAAATGAATGCTGATTTTTTTTGGTAATTGCACAGAGGCTCAATTTCTATAGGAGTATAATTTCATTCTTAGGACACAAAACTTCCTTTGTTCCCCATAGTTTCCTGCCATGTGACACACCTATTTTGAAGGCAGTCAGTGCTTCTCATCCTCATGCAAATTGAGATGTTTAGTAATGGAAGATGGCCCTTTATTTGTTTTGGACACCGGTGGTTAAAAATGAATATATATATTTACATATTATATTTAAACTCGTAAATGCAGTAACATTCTATAACCACTGAGGTTATCCTCTCTGTAAGCATTTGACTTTTATCAGCTCCCAGAAGATTATCAGGTGGTTTGCTAACCTGGTCTAAGGCATGAAACTCTGATCTGAAACAAGCCACCAGAATATCTGAGCCATCCTTAAAATTCTGAGAAAGAAGCAAAATAATTGCATGATGTAATCGCTGTTTGTGTTGAAATTTGCCTTGTGCAGGTGGTCCTTGCCTTACAACAGTTTGTTTAGTGACCGTTCGAACTTAACACTCAAAAAAGTGGCTTCTGACCATTTTTCACATGGCTGTTGCAGCAGCCCCACAGTCACGTGATCAAAACTCAGACGCTTGGTAACTGACTCACATTTATGACGGATGCAGTGTTCCAGGGTCATGTGATCCTCTTTTGCAACCTCCTGACAAGCAAAGCCAATGGGGAAGCTGGATTCACTGTAACAACTGTGTAACTAATTAACAGCTGCAAGGATTTGCTTAACAACCGTGGCAAGTAAGGTCGTAAAATGAGGCAAAAGTCACTTAACAATTGTCTCACATAGCAATGGAAGCAGTAGGTGAGAACTTAAATGGACTCCAGAAGATGGTAGAGGACAGGAAGACCTGGAGGAACGTTGTCCATGGGGTCGCGATGGGTCGGACACGACTTCGCAATTAACAACAAGAACAACAACAAGCAATGTAAATTTTGGGCTCAAAATTTCAAGAACTTCCTAAAAATTCCTAAGAAATTTTTATCCTCTGAGAAAGAAGCCTCTGCTTTTCTGCCCTATTCCAAAAATATTTGATTTCTTTTCTTTCAGAAAGCCGGGAAGAAGAAGAAGAAAGACGGGGTTTCTCTTCCATTTCTCCTGGGAGTGTTTAAAAATGATTGTACTGGGGTGCAGATTGAGCTGCTGCTGATAATATTTTTGTGGCTCTGGAGTCTCCTCAGCTGTGAAACCTCTCAGTCTGCTTCCTTTCCATGGGACTTAAAGGAAAAGTGGAAGGCAAGAAGTTACAGATGGATGGAGAATGAAGCACACAACGAAAGACAAGATATTTATATGCCTTGCCTTGCTTACATGTCACTAAACGAATGCAACAAAACCCATCTCTGGCCCATGAGAATTTTACCAAACTTCTCTTCTCCTTTGAAATAAATTCGCCAAGCAAATTATTTTAATTAAACCAGAACCGATGGGGGGGAGGGAAAAATCAGAATTGCTCTGCATAGCGGTAAATAATTCTCTGGATGGTGGGAAGGAAGCTGTTCTATTTGGGGTGTCTGGAGTTGGAATAGTCCAAAACATTCACCCCTTGGCAGCTGGCAGATGTGAGGACTCTGCCATCCTTCTGGATGTCTTTGGTTTTAATTAACTATTTTCCATTGCAAGCCAAGCAGGAGAATATACACTGACCTGCCTCAAAGCTCCCTTTCTTGTTTATTTTCTCTTCAATTTATTTCTAAGCCAGATAGTCCCTGCTTCATGATTACAGCGACTCCAAAAATGGGGGGGGGTGTACAAGTCAGTTCGACATGCTTTACAAGTCAATCATTTTAGAGTGAAACTTTTAGAAGCTGAGAAACCTTTAATTGAAAGGCTTTTAAAAATGCTTAATCGTACAGTGCCCAGAATTTTTAACTGTACACCATCCAAAAAGGCTCTGTGAATGAGATGGGCTGTCTCTAAATTTGATTTGGAAATAAATAAAGTTCAGAAAGCTGAAATTCCTGACTCAAGATGGGGATGTTATTAAGACCTAGAATCTTCTTCCTTATATTCCCTTTCCAATTCTCCTTTCCTTGGGAAACTCCAATCTCAGGAGAAACATTTGTAGCTCAGAGATGTCCTTGTTGTTCTCTGAACTCAGTTGTTTTCTTGCAGATGTTTCATGACCCAACTAGATAACATTATCAGTGATAGAGCTAGCATTGACGATGTTACCTAACTTGGATCATGAAACAGCTGCAAGAAAACAGCCAAGCTCAGACAGCAGCACCCAGGACCTCTCAGGGGAAACATCTGGATGGTCTGTCTGAGGAACGAAGATGGGGTTCCATCAGTAGATTCCCCTCCTGACATCAGAATCCTATCTCCAAACCTAGAAGGAAACATCAAAGGCATCCAAGGATTCTGAGGACCCATTCTAAAAATGACAGGATTGCAGTACATCTCTGAATGTTTTATGCTAAATTAGGAAAGGAATCTAAGGCCCAATTGTGAATAATAGTGTCAAAATTTGCCAGCCTTAGAGGATGCCTCTTCCCTGATATCTTCTCACATGTGAAGGATCTTCTTTGTCCCTCTCCGTGGGTAGAATCATGAGTGGTCATTAGTAAATAAAAAGTTCTCTTCCATAGATGTAGAAGATCTAGTTCTCCATCCTCTTTTCAACCTGCAGCATCTTTCACTGATGTCTGTCCTGGTTTGGGCAGTTGAGAGTTTGCAATATCTAAAGGGCTGCATCTAATACACCCATGGTGTGTCCCATAAATACTTCCCATTTTTGACATTTGCAACCCAAGCAGTTCTCCGTATCTCTTTCATCTTTTCAACATTCAGAGATTAACTATTCTCTTTGCCTTACATCTGGTCTACCATTTTCATCTGTAATGACTGACTTTGAACTCTTAGCTAGAATTTGGGACTTCCTTGTCTCTTCACCATCCAGAACAGAACAGAATTACGGAGTTGGAAAGAACCTTGGAGGTCTTCCGGTCCAACCCCCTGCTCAGGCAGGAAACCCTATACCATTCTGTACAAATAGCTGTCCAATTTCTTCTTGAAAACCTCCAGTGATGGAGCACCCACAACTTCTGGTGGCAAGCTGTTCACTGGTTAATTGTTCTCACCATTAAGAAGTTTCTCCTTAGTTCTCGGTTGCTTCTCTCCTTGGTTAGTTTCCATTCATTGCTTCTTGTCCTGCCTTCTGGTGCTTTGGAGAATAGGTTGTGCCCCTCGTCTTTGTGGCAGCCCCTTAGATATTGGAACATGTATTATCCTCTGCTTGTATCTTTTTTTCTTCAGGAATTGTTATGTGCAAAGCTGAAAGTTTGCATGTTGTGATGTACTATTTACTTGTTATTTCTGGAGGCCAGAGTTGTGCTCTTTTCCATGGATCAACACCCAAACCATGGCTTTTAATGTCTTCTTTTCCCCTTTCAGAGGGCTGTTTGTGAAGGTCTACCCATAGCTGGATGACCAATAAGGAGGATTTGAGTTCCTCCTATTCTTGGTTATAAAGCTTTGTGTTCCAAAGATGAAACCTCAAGAGTTAACATGTTTGCTTGGCTGATTTTTTAAAAAACCATGCCAAACCTTACAGCACTAAATAACAATGCAACGAAGATGTGCTTGCACAACCCAACAATTTTAATCTTCCTCTCAACCCAACTGGTACTTTATAGCTAAATTTAGGAACGTAATGGTGGACCTCTCTGATAGCGTAGCCAAAGAAATGTTCAACGCTGGCTTTAATTGTAGGATAGAACTGTTTAAGGTTTAGCATGTGGTTGCCAAGATGGAGTGTGTTAGGTAAAGAGGACTTCCCCCCCACACACACACAAGGGGGTTTACAAGACCAGGTTTTGGTTGTAAGATACTGATGAATCCCAAGAGATACTCCTTTCTTTGAGGTGCATGGCATATGTTGCAAAGCCTCCATACACTCTAAAGAAGAGACTTTGTTTTCGTGTGGATGAACAAGAATCCTATCTTCAAAAAGGGGGGGGGGGGGAAACAGACCCAGGAAACTACAGATCAATCAGTCTGACATCGTTACTGGGAAGACCCTGGAAACGATAATCAAGCACCAGATCTGCGAACACCTAGAAGCAAGCAAAGTTATAATCGGAAACCAACCTGAATTTGTCAAAAACAGATCATGTTAAATCTTATTTCATTCTTTGACAGGGTAACTAAATTAATGGGAGAGCGAAATACTGTGGACATGTACACTTGGATTTCAGTAAGGCATTTGACAAAGAATAATTTATCTCTCTTCTCTAGTCTCTCTCTTCTGCCCCCCATCCATGCACCCACCCACCCAAAGGAAAAAGTGCAGAGGAACCCAGGCTGGAAGAAGAACAAAAATCAGCAGTCATCTGAAAAAAGTTGATAAAACCAGAGAGACAGGAAGAAGCGGCAAATGCATGAAGCACCTGTTGAGGGCTCTTGCTTGATCACCCAAGTGCTGACAGACGTATGGGAAAATGGAGCTTCTCAGATGGTGTGTGGACACCGTTGTCGGCCGGCGGGTGTGCAACCTTGCTTTCATCTTCAGCATCCTGAGACATCATCATGTTTGAGGCTGGTGGTTGAGTCCTTGAAGGTACTGGAGTAGAAAGAGAGAGAGAGATCAAAATAGTATTCTTTGTAGCTCAGAGTTGAACTGTGGGTCCTTGGTGCTCTCTGAGCTTGGTTGTTTTCTTGCAGATGTTTCATGACCCAACCAGATAACACCATCACCTCTGAGCTTGGTTGTTTTCTTGCAGACGGTTCATGACCCAATTAGGTAACATCATCAGCTCCATCACTAATGATGTTACTGGTTGGGTCATGAAATGTCTGCAAGAAAACAATCAAGCTCAGAGAGCACCAAGGACCTCATAGAGAGGTATCTGCATATCTCCCTCTCTCTTTGATACATCCAGACAATACTCTATATCCAGTTACCACTTTCACCCATTCATCAATTACAAGCTCAGCTTAAAATCCCAGCTTAATACCAGCCCACCCATTTCTGCATTACATCACAAGGATTCACCAGTTGGGTGACTTGACAAGAAACTCCACCAAAGCGTAGCTCCAAATGCAAAAGATTCGTCTTTGTGACTAGCTTCTTTGGGCTGGTGTTCTTCAGATCTGGCAAAGATCTCTCATCTGTAGCCTAGCAGAGGATGATGGGTATTATGGCGCACACCATAAGGAGATTGCCCCATGTGGATCAGGACTCAAGTCCCCACTCAATACTGGAAGTTTGAATTAGTTGTGATCAGGGCTTTTTTTCTCATAGAACACCCAGAACAGAGTTCCGGCACCTTTTTTGGATGGAACCTTATAGAGTAGGCAAGGTGGGTTGCATGACGTGTGTGAGTTCCGGCATCTTTTTTTTTTTTTTAGAAAAAAAGCACTGGTTGTGATCAACTGGGTATCATAATTAGAAATGCCAAGGCAGAAATAGCTCTAATTAAGAAGTCCTGTTGAAGAACACATCATAATGTGTCACCTGCTGGTTCCTTCAGAACCAGAGAAGCTCTGTGACAATCAACAAGACTGACTATGGCAAAATTGGAGAATGGCATATCATCAAAGCCCATCATTATTTTCAAGCGGCCACAAGGGAGAAGGGTAAGCCTGCATGGTGTATTATGCATGACATTACAAAGGTAAGCAGAGTGAGGCTGTCAGAATAATCTTTGAATGGAACACCACTAGGAAATCCCTGGTCTGGGACCTAAACTGGGGAGGTGGAAAAACATCTCCCAAAAAGTTTTTTTCTCTCTCTCTCTCTCTCTCCCTCTCTCTCTCTCCCTCCCTCCCTCCCTCTCTCTCCCTCCCTCCCTCCCTCCCTCTCTCTCTCTCTCTCTCTCTCTCTCTCTCTCTCTCACACACACACACACACACACACAAACCACCCTGTCCCCTGTAGTCATTGCAAGCGAGCAAGTGAGAAATGACTAATCTGGCACAAAAAATTCATGTGGGTATTTACTAAATGCCCAACCGACCAGATCAACCAGAACTGAGTGGTGACATTATGCTAAGTGGGGTATTTTTCTGGCAGGGAGGTCAGAAATGACTGCCAAAAGTCTTTCTCTGTTTCAAGACTTCATTTGTATGTGTCTCGGCCTTCTTGCCAGTAGATATGACCAAGAACAAGACACTCAAAGGATCGGATTAAAGGACGTTCAGGTTTTATTCTGTTTGACTGACTGATTGGTTTCTATCCGATTTTTCATACAGGAAATATGCAGGTGGCCTTCGTAAGCTTCTTCCTTCTCTATTTTTTTCCATCAGACAAAATGGGATGGGGGGATTCAGATTCTCTTTAAGAAAAAAAAAAAGAAATCTTCAAGGGGATATCAGAATAACAGAGATGGAAGGGGCCTTGCAGGTCTTCTAGTACAACCCCCTGCTCAAGCAAGAGATCCTATGCCATTCCAGAAACATGGTTGTCCACGGAGCACCCACAAAGCAACCTGTTTCACTGGTTAATTGTTCTAACTGTCAGGAAGTTTCTCCTTAGTTCTAGGTTGCTTCTCTCCTTGATTAGTTTCCATCCGTTGCTTCTTATTCTGCCTTCAGGGGCTTTGGAGAATAGCTTGACTCCCTCTTCTTTGGGGCAGCCCCTCAGATATTGGAACACTGCCACCATGCCACTCCTAGTCTTTCTTTCCGCCAGATTAGATTAGGATACGGCATGAAAACTATATTCAGGTTTGGTGAAGAGGAAGATGGGGGAGTTTAGCATACCGTCAAGAAGCACTGGCTTGAAGTAGTTAAGGATCCCTTCTGAGCATTGCTGGCCTCGCTGCTTAGTCTCTCTAACACCCCACTAGCTGAGAAGGGAGGAAATCTCAGGCGGGGTTCACAGCCCCTCTGAAAAGAATTGGGATTTAACAGGTGCAGCCCTAGAAGCAAGAACCCCCCCCCTCCATTTAAACTGGACTTAGCCCAGAAAGAGAACAGAGGATTGTGCACCTAGTTTTGAAAAGAGGCCGGAGCAGCTGCACCCGAAGCTGTTGTCCTTCCAGAGTTTCTTGTGCCATAGGTGCCCGTTTTTTTGCCCCTAAAACTTCTCAGATAATTTCTTTTTAGCAAGCTCCAATATGATTAATATTTCCATGTCTTCCTTCCTTCCTTCCTTCCTTCCTTCCTTCCCTCCCTCCCTCTCTCCTTCCCTTTCCCTTCCCTCCTCCTTCCTCTTCGCTCCTTTTCTTACCTTCCCTTCCCTTTTTCCTTCTTTCCATTTTTCTTCCTTCCTTCCTTCCCTCCCTCCTTTTCTTTTCTTTCCCTTCCCTCCCCCTTCCCTTTCTCTCCTTTCCTTCCCCTCCCTTCCCTTTTTCCTTCCTTCCATCTTCCTTCCTTCCTCCCCTCCCTTCCCTTCCCTTTCCCTCCCACCTCCCTTTTCTTTCTTTCTTTCTTTCTTTCTTTCTTTCTTTCTTTCTTTCTTTCTTTCTTTCTTTCTTTCTTTCTTTCTTTCCTCCGAGGTTCGGGTGGGGTCTTTGAGGCAACCGCCATTCTCGCCCTCCGAAACTGATTAGTCTGGAAACACACAGTTTAGACGAATCCAGCAGCAACAGAAATCAGGACATTTCGTGGTCTGTTTGTAATCTCATCCCCCTTTTCATTAACATAAACACGACTTTAACCCAAATATACAGGGCCACCTACCAAGTTCGTCAGGGGAACGAAGGGAGAGGAAACCCCGTCCCGGGCCTGGCGTGCTGATCGCCTGGAGCCCGGCGCGGGGGGGGCGGGAGAGAGAGAGAGAGAGAGAGAGAGAGAGAGAGAGAGAGATGGTAGGGAAACAGGGATAATGGGAGGGGGGAGGAAGGGGTGGCTGGCGAGAGAAAGCGCCGGTGTTACACTGGCAAAGAGAGAAGAGGGCTGGGCAAGGGGGGGGGCCTTGCCTCTCGACTTTGGACCCCCCCCCCAATTGAGAGCCAAGATCTGCCCCCTTCCCAAGCAGCCAGGAAGCCCCGGGACGTGGCATGTGGACCCGGCAGGCGGTGGCGAACCGCCCTTGGCCCCTCGCTGGAGGGGTCCCTTGAGGCGAAGGGCAGACCAGCCGCCGAGTGCTCGGGGGCAGCCGACCGAGGCTGATTTGCGCTCCCGGAACGCCCAGGCGACGCCCAGCCAGGCGACGTGGAAGGCCGGGGGAAACGGAGGCCGCTCCTGAGCTCTGCGACCCAACAGACCGACGTTTAGAAGGAAAAGCGAAGAAGTGGCTTCGCTTGGCCTCTCTCTAGAAGCTGAACACGGGGTGGCTGTTTAATGAGAAAAAAGGGGGGAAAAATGCCTTCACTCGTGAGAAAAAAAAAAGAAATCTCAGATCCGTCTGGCAGCTAAGGCGTCCGTCTAGGAAAGGAAGCATCTTAGTTGACCCGGGCAAACTTGCAATCCATTCTAGGTTGCCCAAAGTGGTCAGACCCGGCTCCCTACATCCAAATATGCGATGGGCGTTATTTCCAGGTAGACTCTCCCTGGATAGGGAGGTTCTAGCAGGCCAAGAGCCACTGAAGGACGCTCCCCATCGGTTGGTGTTTTTGTTCGTTTGTTTGTGCCAAGGAGCCTCGAATCGTTGTTTAAAGGCCACCAGGGCCGATCCCATCTGGCGCTCAAACCCCCGAGGCCAATAACTGTGCAGGAATATTGTCTTCCCAGCGTTCGTCTTCTGAGCGTTGGAACACAGAGGGTGTGTGTGTGTGTGCGGCGTGCGGGTGCGCGCGACCCCGCCCACAGACTGACTAACTGATTGATTTATTTATTTATGAAATGTATTTATGAATTTTTTATTTATGAAATATATTTATTTATTAAATTTATATCCCTCCCGTCTGGCTGTCAAGCGTCTCTGGGCGGCTTAGGACAGGATAAAGCAATATTTATAAAAGCTTAAATCAGTAAAAGCAGAAACGCGGCTGGAATGCTTACGGCCGGTAAGGGAATTTTTTCTTCCAAGCGACTCGGCTCACGGTCAGGGGTGCCCTAGGCGGGTTCCTTCAACCTCTGCCCCCACTCCCAATAGTCTCCCCCCCCCCCAAGAAAATCCCCATTCATAATCTACGGTTTTGCGTTCGCTCTTATTTTCCTTCCCTGTAAAGCAGTGTTTCTCAACCTTGACAATTTTAAGGCATGTGGAGTTCAACTCCCAGAATTCCACAGCCAGCAATGCTGGCTGTAGAATTCTGGGAGTTGAAGTCCACATGCCTTAAAATTGTCAAGGTTGAGAAACACTGCTTGTAAAGAGGTGCGAAGTGAGCGGAAAGACGCGCTTCTCTGGATTGGGGCCCAACGGACGAAGCGCAGGGGTTTCTCTTCGGTCCCCCCCCCCTTTACCCCTTTCCTCCCCTCTCCCCCCGCCCGCCCGCCCAAGTCTCTTGAGGTCGCTACCCCGCTCAGAGAGTTGTAAATCTTCTGCTGACTGGCGGCCTTACAAGAGCGACTTTAGCTTGCGCGCCAAAGGGGGTTCTCTTTTATTTCGGGGTGAAGCAGACGTCCTCCCAGCGAGGTCAGCTAAGCAAGTCGTCCCAAAGGTGCTTCCCCGCCCCCCGCCCCCCAGGCAACTGGGCTTGCTTTTTTTCTTTGAAGACGTTTCGCTTCTCATCC